TTAATTGAAAAGCTTGAATCAAAGTTTTTGTATCTGGTTTATGTGGGTGTTTGCTGGAAAACTGAATTTCAGAAAGCAGAGCATTTTTCAACACATGATCAAAAATAAATGATGTTATCTTTTTTTAAAACAGGATGTTAATACTGAATTACTTGCATAGAAATCAGAAGAACTTAAAGGGGACCTATCATGAAAAATGCACTTTGTGATGTCTTTTATACATAAATATGTGTCCCCGGTGCGTCGGGGAACTCACGCGCGTGAAAATAAACCGAGGTGTTTTGGACGTCTTTGTTTACATTAGCAAGCCTCGCTAACACTCAGAGCTAACCTGTATTGAAAGGCACATGTGTTTAAAAAGCAGGAAATAAAAAAGGAACTCACCCTGTGATAAACACGCAAGAGAAAAAGCATTTGAGCTCCATACTATTTCAGTAATAATCCTTGACGTGGTTTAAACAGGATGGCGTTTTATCACAGCAGAATTTAACGTTATCTCCGGTAGAATTCTGATCAGGCCTCCTCTTTTTTTTTCAAGCTAAGGACCCAAAATCTGCGTTTCTCTAACAGGGCTCAAAAGAGGGGAGTGAGCTACAATGGGTGATCTGTTTGGTATTTAAAAAAAAAAACTTCACAGACATGTTTTGTATAGGTATGGCCCTACAATATATGTTTCAAATATAGCATGATAGGTCCACTTTAAATTAATGCTTTTACCCCATTTGTTCCTCTTAAGTATTTCAACCTCATCCCGACTTATTTGAGATCTTTACAAACTCTGTGATCTTTGCTACATTTCAAAATAAAGTCCTGTGGATTTAAAACAAAGTTTGGCTGCACAGCATGTGTTTGTAGTGACAGGACCACCAGTACGTCAGATGATATGTTTTAATCGCAGGTCTCTTGCTGTGGGACCCTCCTCCCCGCCCTCTCGGTTCCTCTCCCCTCCCTCCCTCCCCTCCTCTCCCTCTGGGCTCTGTCTCTCTTTCAGCTCAGTGTTTTGGCAGCAGCGCTCCCCTGCATCACAAAGCCCGTTCTCTCAGTTCGTCTCATTGTGTTGCGAACACGACGCAGGTAATGATTAACACAAACACACAACAATGGGATCTGCAGCTCCAGCCTGTGTGGGAGTCGATGGCCTCAAGACGGTCTGACTGACCTCGAGCCACACCATGCCACGAAGACTGCATCTCTCCATCTTTTGGTTGACCTTTTTACTTCACCATGTTGTTCACCACGAGTGTTTCAATGCATTCTTGCTGCAGAGACTTGTGGCGCAACGACACGTCAGTGGGACACCTAAACATCTGAAACCCTACTATTTAAACTGTCTGATGAGACCAGAAATCCATGAAAAGCATCATGATGTTTGGTCTGATTTGCCATATCCAGAGCCACCAGAAGTCAAGAGGCAGCTGGAGTTAAAATAAATGTGTAAATGCGAAGGAAAACAAACCATTTGCACATTTATCTCCACTGCAAACAGTTTCAGTGTTTACTGTCTGAGCTTTCAATCAACAGACCTGATGCTCTGAGTTTGACTGAAAGCTCAGACAGTAAAAAGGTTTGCGATACATTTGCTTTTATTTATTTTCCCTTTAACTTTACAAAATCAATGAAACAGCCTTGCGTATGTCCAGGTATTGAAGTGGTAAATGGGCTTAACTACACAACAGATGCTGACATACATGAAATTGATTTCAACGCATGAGAGGGGAGTACACTTTTGAAATTAAGATAATCCGTTGTTGACATCGCACTGCATGATTTCAGCCTTTTAGTTGTCAATTTCCCTTCACCATGTTGTTAACCTGCATGAGAGACATGTGGTGCATCGACACATTACTAAGCGACCTAATAATCTCTTTGCCAAATATTGAAATAGGCTGTTGTGAACAGAAATCCATGAAACGCTCCATGTTTGGCTGTATTTGCACTTTAAGGCAGCTGGAGACTAATCATTTTGTTAAGGCCAAAGAAAAACATCGCATTTGCACATTTACAAACATTCACTTCACTGTCTGAGCTCTCAGCCAAACAGAACAGATTGAAATGGTCTGAAACCATCCACACATCACTTCACTATGTGGTTCACCTGCATGCGTTTCTATGCATTTTTGTTACAAAGACTTGTTGTACATTAACAGATCATTTAAAGACCTAATATTCTGAATAACTAATATTTAAATACTCTTAAACATCACTCAAGTTCTGACCTACATATAAGTGATTTCACATAAGACATAAGAGGGTAATAAACCTTTACATTAAGATGCTCTGTTGTTGACGTCTTGGAGAGGAGCATTGGCTAAACAGTCTGAGATTTAAATCTAAAAGGAGAACTGATGTTTCTATAATGTGTCCCTGCTGTGAAGCGGACTAATGAGCGACCGGCCACACCTCGCACATTCCTCCTGACCTTTATTCCACCTCACTTTCCCTCCACACACACACACACACACACACACACACACACACACACACACACACACCCACACAACACACACACACACACACACACACACACACACACACACACACAAATGCTCAGGTATGACACACACACATATAACAGTCCACCACGCAGCGCCAGCTCTTATCTGCTTTATGACTTCCACTCTGCCTCGTTTATTTGTGTACTTTGACTTTCGCTGTAAAGCTCAGTCTGACCCGCAGTAGCACTGCAACGTGTCAAAGGTCAAATCTGGAATTTATTTCAACACTTAAATTTCATCTGAATATGCTCGTGCCGCGGCCGCTGCAGGGGTCTGACCCACACATAACAAGTTATTTGGAGTATTTGGGACTTTTTTTTGGATGTTTGCTGAGTTTTTTTAGCTTTAGTCAATCATTTCTCACCCAAAGCAGGTATCATGTAACCAGGTTTGAATCCGGGCCAGGACCTTTGTAGCTTGTGATTGCCCTCTTTCTCTCCCATGCACTTCCTGTCTCTCTTCACAATAAAATTTGTCCTGCAGCGGTAAAAACAATAACAATACTGAAGGATAAACCACTGTGGGCATTTATAGGGACAAAGGTTAGCTAACTGGCAAACGTAAATGGCTTCCAACAAACTCTGGTCAACATATATTATGATATTGTTTGACTAGTATAACGTTGATTAGTTGTTGAGTCTATAAAATGATAGAAAGAAGTGAAAAATGTCTGTTCCAGTTCCTAAAGTCCAATGTGATATCGTTAAATGTCTTGTTGTTTTCAGTTCACAACCCAAAGATAGTGAGTTTGTTGGGATATAAAAAAGAGAACAGTTGGAAATCTCCATATTTAGGAGGATAAAACTGGATTGTCTTTCACGTTTGAATGCAAAAAAAGTTGTTTATTATACTTTTGATCGATTAGTTGAATCGTGCAGCTCTGATCTACAGCAACAGTGTTTGGTGGGTTGAAATATGCTACACACAGACACAATTATCTTCTGAATATAAAAAAACAACATGTTATCCGCTATATAATGAAATATCGACATACATTAATAATACATTTATTTAATAAATCTAAACATTAAAACATTAATTTAATTACATTAAAACCTCAAAAAGACATCGTATTTATTTTAAACTAATAAAAAGATGATGTCTTTGACAGAACATTGCTGATGTAGAAACTCCACACTTGGTGTCCATACAAAGCTAAAAAAAGAATTACTTATCAATCGTTTGTTTTTGCTTCTGTGATGTTAATGGTTTTAGTATTAAACATCTATGTAGGTGAGATACCGACTGAAATGCATTGTCCATTGTTTTCAACTGTTTTGATACATTTCCAGCAGACTAAAGTGAATTGGGGAAACTAAAGTAGAAGTTAATGAGTTAGTGATGTTCACATTCTTATCACTTTATTGTCTATATCAGGTGTTTTCTCTTTATTACCTGAATACTGATCTCATGCTAGATTTCTGCATCATTCAAATAAAACGTACTCCTGTCATTCCCCATTATAACTTGTTTTTAGGTTTTTACAGTCTATGGTTTTTACCCATGGGTCTTGCTTTAACATAAGGCTCAGTGTGTTATAAGCTGATAAAAACAGGGCTGATCTTGATTCTCTGCTGCAGCTAATGGGATTACTCCTCCTGCTCTTTCTACTGATGCAATTAAAAACACGCAGGCAATTCACAGCATTCACTCACTAAAGCAACTTAATTGAATGCATCTTCTAAGAGACGCCTTAATGTTCTGTTTGCATAAAGGACAATAAACCCGCAATAAATTATGAGACCAGAACAGAAGTGATGTATGTGGTTCATTTGGCACGCGTTCAGTGACTGGATAGGGACGATTTAAAAAAAAGTTTAGTTTGCTCAAAAAATAATACGGTAAAGGTTCTAATTCAAGAAACGTTAGCACACTGTGAGAGGAGGCTAAGGGGTTTATTCGCCAGCTCTTTGGAGGGATGGGGGCTGTTTTTCAGTCAAGGGGGTAACAGAAGCGCCCCCCTCCCCTCTCTCTCTCTCTCTCTCTCTCTCTCTCTCTCCCCCCTCCTCCTCCCCTGGCCGCTCTCAGACCATTGTTATTGTGACTGCCGTCCAGAGAGCACAGTGCTGTAGGAGGGCTCTCTCTCTCTCTCTCTGTACAAGTGAAGCGGACGGGGGCTCAGCTCCGCATTTGAAACCTCGCATCTGACCGGGATACACTCACCCAGGAGAGGAGAGTTTAGCAGGAGCGCTGCGTAAAAGACGCGCGTAAAGAATTAACCAAGAGGCGACTGTGAACTACGGGGGCACGTTTTGATCACCCTCTATCAATCTCTCGATCACCCTCTATCAATCTCTCGCCATCTCTTGGATCTTTTCCAACATTTTCACAGCGAAAAGAGGACTTTTTTGTACCCGCGTGAATCCACTTTTTTCGCTCCGTGTTTGGTTTTCTCTCCCTCTATGGATTTAGCCCTCTAAACGGACTTTGCCCAAGGGGATCGCTGCTCCTTCCACCGGTCACCAGGCAGCTGTCGTTCATGCTCCTGTGGGCTGTTTTGATGGATTTATAAGCTCGTTTTTCAGCCGGATACACAACAGCCGAGAGGCGCTCACAGACTGCTTTTTGGGAAAGGCGATAACATAACTCCAAATGAGGATTTCAATATTCACTCGTATCGCCCGGGACAAGGAGTGATTTCCCCCCGGTACACTCATCTCTGCGCGGACAGACCGGGAGGAAAGGTGGGTGACAACAGACAGCTGGACATTTGCTGTTTCATTAATTTTACCGGTGTTGTTACATTAAGATTAAAAGACTCAAATGCAATGGTTTAAAGCCTTACATCTTGTTATTAAACTGAGTTAATTCTACTTTAGTGATTTCCCCTAAAAGAAGGTGTTAATGTCTTGATATGGGGCACAAGAAGGCTTAATGTCTATCTACCAGGATCGCTCATTTGCATTGTAAATCCTCGTTTTGTCATTTTAAGCAGGGGTTTCAAGAACGAAACGATTGCTTTCAGATTGTAACTTGTTTTGCTACGCGAACAGATCCAAACAAGTCAGCAATTAGACATTGAACCTTTCAGACGGACTATTTCTGAGGAGAGGGTTGAGTTTGAACTCGCTCTGTTTTTAAATCATTTAAATAAGGACTCGTGTAATTGCTATAAAGTGTTACATTTTCATTATGGCAATCCTTATCTGATAATTCTATAAGAAAACTGTATTTAAAGCCAACCTTCAATTAACAAAAGCTTTTATTTATCCATAGATCCCAGTTTGTGCCACACACTGCTCAATTGATTGAATGTATTCACTGACAGCATTGACACATGCATAGTGACCGACAAGGACTGATTGAGACTAGTATTAGGGATTTATTAAGTGTGACTTAAGTGACAGAAAGATGTAGTACATGCAAAATAAAAGTCTACACAGGGTCGTCCCTCTCTGCGTGTTTCAGGCTGCAGAGTAGAATACAGGAGAGTGTTTTGGCTGCGAGGCAGCGTGCCAGCAGAATTAGCAGCAGCAGGAGAAAAAGTTTCTTTCCAGTCCTTAATTGAGAAAGAATACGTTTCATTCAGCCGGTTGGTTCTTTAAACGGTGTGTGTGTGTGTGTGTGTGTGTGTGTGGGGGGGGTGTGTGTGTGTGTGTGTGTGTGTGTGTGTGTGTGTGTGTGTGTGTGTGTGTGTGTGTGTGTGTGTGTGTGTGTGTGTGTGTGTGTGGGAGCACCATGGTCTGGCGCCTGTGCGCAGTTGGGCTGACTCGCAGCAGAAAAATCATTGCATTATTCCTTTAGTGTGTTCGTGTTTAAACTTTGTCAGAATGGATAAATGGTTTCAGTGTTGTACTAAAATAAGATAAAAAAAATATTTTCATGGTAATATTTTCAGCAGTGGAATCATATTAATTTTCATCTGGATTGGAAGACATGTATTAACTTTTCTCCTTACATAAATGAGGTTTGATTATTTAATATCACTGATGCATTCAGAAGTCAAGCATATATTTAAGTTCAAAAGCATTGGAGATTTACATTTCCATTTTAAAGTTGGAACAGTAAAGGATTTGAGTTTTCTTTCAACAAACTGAAAAGCCATTTTCAGTCAAAAATGCCAAATCAAGATCATAAACCTAAGAAATTGGAAGTCAGGTTTGTTTTGCTTTTCTTTGTCTTCTGTAATAATAAATATATATTTTTTTGAAGTGTTAGTGAGACGTAACTGAGATCTGAAGACATCTCCTTTTGCATTTGGACAGTCCTTTCACCTTTTTCTGACCATTTATGCACAGACCTTACGTGAAGTTTAGAGTTATAATTTGATATTGTACACTTAGATTTAAAGTATCATATGCAGTCGGATTTAAAGAAAGGAGATGCTCGTGTGAGCAGTCACCTGTTTCCACCTGAAGTCTCTCATCAGCTGCCAGTCGAATGTCTCCGCTGCTCCTTCAGATTTTGCAGCTTCCTGGCAAGATTCAAGTGTTTTCCCAATAAGGGCCCATTATCGGGGGGCAGACTGAACAGGGCCATGCTGACAAACAACAGGCGGTAACAGCCCTGCTCCTTATTCATGACGCAGGAGAGCCTGGACAATGTGAGGCCGACGAGCGGGACAGTTAGCAGGACATCTGGTTGTGAATACAGCTGCTCACAGTCAAAACAGCCTCTTTTCCCCTGTTTGTCTGAACACTTGTTTGTGTTTTCTTCCCACCTGGTTTAAACATGAGCAGAGAAGTTTGTGTCTCTTAAGCTGCTCTCCCCTGATCAGAAGATAACCGTCTCCCTTTGTGTTTGTTTGCATCTGCAGGATCCAGATTTAGAGACTTTCTCAAGTTTCCAATGCCAGGGACCGGAGTTTGAAGCCAACTCCAGGCTTCCAACAAACATATCTACCTTTTTACGCAAGAAGAAACACGTGAAGAAGATGGCGAGGGTCTGCACGTTCTGTGTTTTTCTGCTTTGTTTGATGGAAACAGTCTCGGCCAGAGTCATCGATGAAGGAAGGACTAAAGGTAAGACCTCAGCTGATTTCATTCTGCGTGTGAAACTATATAACCTTGTAGAATCACATAATTTCAAGATGCTTTACAGATGATTTCCTTCCCTACTTTTCCTGGTTTACGCTGCATAAAAGTTAGATAATATGTGTGGATATATCTGCAGAGGTTTCGATCCACTCTCCCTTCTTAGAAAGTGTCAGTTTCTTGGCAGCCATGACCACAGAGGAAATCAAGGTGACAGGAACAAGGACACAGAGGCTGCAGTGGAGTCTAGGATGGAGGAAGGAAGGAAGGAAGGAAGGAAGGAAGGAAGGAAGGAAGGATGGAAGGAAGGAAGGAAGGAAGGAATAATTCATTTGATTTATATAGCACACTTTAAAGACAAGCGTCATCTCAAGGTGCTTCACAAAGCTATAAGGAAAAATAAGTTAAAAGATATCTAAAGGAGCATATTGGATGAAATATGGCAATATAAAAAATAAAAATAAAAGGTTAAGAGCATAAAAGGTTTAAAATTAAATAAATAAAGTGAAGGAAGGAAGGAAGGAAGGAAGGAAGGAAGGAAGGAAGGAAGGAAAGAAGGAAAGAAAGAAGGAAGGAAGGGAAAAAAGCTCTCAGTGTTTCTGCTGCCGTAAACTGAGCTACCTGATCTGTCCGAGGCCCTGAGGCTCGGATGTGTAAATCTGCCTGGCTGTGTGCCAGCTGTAGAGCATGAGGGGGGGGGGTTTCTCATTGATGCTTTACAAACAGAAGCCAATGCAATAAGTCAGCCATTGTCAGCTCCATTAGCATGTTTCCATTGAGTTACACTGTAATCAGTCCACTCGTTCAATTCAATCAGTAACCTCAGTTGTTTCTCCTTCTCTTTGAGGTAGATGTTTTTTTAAGTCAGATTAAAGGACGAGGTGACATTTTTGTGTGTCGATCGACGAAAGATGAATTGGGTTTTGTTGCCTCGGAGGCATGGAGCACAGTAACTGTCTCTCCTCCATCTCTGTGGCCCCCACTTTGTACTTCAGGGCCCCAAAAGGCCAGTCGGGGCTTGCTTCTTCTTCTTCTAATGTGCCGAAAAGAACCTCTCAGGTTTATTAACAAGACAGATGAGTGGAGAGTCAAACTGGGATTGATGATGGAAAGATCCTCAGGTCGTAAAAAAAATTGCACAAACACACTCTCCAAAAACAAACTTCCTTGTAAGTACTTTGGCAGACCCAAGAGGACGGTGTAACGCAGGATTATCAATACATTCAGTAAACACTCGTCATGTTCTACAGCGTCGTTAAATAATAATCCAATTGCGGCACAACATGGGCCACATTAAACATCTGTGAAGTCCTGGATTTCCTAATTAAAAAGTTTTGATAAGCGATCCATTAAATGATCAGGATTTGTCCCTTTTGTTTGATTCTTAAAGTTGTGGGGTGTCACTTTCTAGATAAGAGATAAGCCTCGGAGAGAAAAGCGTAAATATGATTATCGCAACTGACAGGAGACATGGCATCAAAGAAGAAGATTAACCCCCTTACCCTTGATGTCTGTTTAAAGAGACAAGAGAAGAAGTCCAGCTGAGGAGAGGTGGTGAGGGGTCAGGGGTACCCACAATGCACTGCTCCTGACAGGGAAGATCTCCTCTGGAGGAATTGAATGCAGAAAAGTTCACATTTATGATGAAGAAGAAAGAATACTGAAAGAGAAACGTCCTTTTTTTCATCTGACAAAGCTTTCATTGATCTTTTAAAGTATTCTTAGCCCCTGGGCGTTTCTGTCATGTTGCTAAATATAATTATACATCTAATGTTACTAACCGCATGCTGCTAAATGCAGGGATCAGACTTGTCCTATGTTTTTCCCCTGTCCCACTCGATAAAAAACGTATTTTCAGTCATGTTTTCACATCATAACAGATTATAGAACAAGTACAGCCGTAAACGTTGGAGGACCGTAATCCAAACAAAAATACAAATAATAGAATTGTACACGGATGATGGCAAAGTGTAACGGATGGATGGGAACTATAATCTTTGGCTGGTTCAACCATTTTCTTAAACAATTAACCGTGTAGATAAACCTCACAGCAGCATTCCTCAAACTGCTTTACTTGCTATTAGGCAGAACCATTGTAAGTGTTTTTGCATTGGTTTGAAATAAGCTAAACCATTTTAAGTGCTTCTGTGAAGAGTCTTTTTTATTAAATGTTTTAATGGCCTAGGCTTCAAATAAAGAACGATCCCAGCTTCTTAAGATTAAAGCTGCAAACTGACCTCATTGCACGCCACTTCAGTAACTCTCCAGCTTAAGGAGCAGAATCAAATGTTTATTTTTGAGAGGATCTGTAGCTCTGCAGTTATATCTGCTGCTCTGCTCAGGGCATGAGACTCCTCATTGTAGCCGATGGGCGATTTGTTTGTGTTGTGTTTTGTTGTGTTGTGTTGTGTTTGTTTGCCCCCTCGCCTCTGGGTGACAATTCACACTCTGCTGCGAGTTCAACTCCAGGGCAGAGTCCCTATCTCTGCAAGTTCATTGTGTGTGTGTGTGTGTGTGTGTGTGCTGTGATTTATTGTCCACTGATTTACTGTGTTTGCTCCATTAGAATAAAATGTGTGGCTTTTTGGGATCTCCTTCTATTAATACGTTGAGGACATAGTCGTTTCTTTTACAATAAAACTATCCATTTTAATTTGCCGTCCTTTTGGCTGCTTCAACCAATCAGCGTTTTGGATTTTCCACTTACAACCACCATGTGTGTGTGCTCCTGAAAGTTTTATGTCCACATGTACTCTGGGTAGCACTTCACTCCTGACAAGCGAACAGATTGCCTTTTCACTAAGCGCTCGCAGGAAGCAATCAGACAGAAAATTGCCCCGGAAAATTGCTCGTTCTGAGTGACTGAGCAGCCAGGGCGCACATATGCTCCAACAAGTGAGTGGGCAAGCACATAAATGGACGAGTGACCCAGTGAATGGATGGCACTGTGGCTGATGGTGACACGATAGTAGCTGGGTTATCAGGGCACTCTATCACCAGCTCCTAGTGGCATTCAATGACAGCGGTTGTTAAGGAACATGGTGTGCTTCTGTTGCGGGACCTTTCAGAGGTAAACTGAGACCTATGGTGTCATCTGACCATTTTTGTCCTTTTTACTCAGAGCCAGTTCAGACTAAGGAGGTTTTGTAGCAGGTTAATAAAACACATTTCTTTCTGTGGCATTACATGACTCCTGGACCGGTATTTCTCGGGTAAAGAACGTTTTGAAAACTTGTAGGACAAATGCTCTAGTCACGCCACGCTTTAACTCACTTCTGCAATGCACAAAGCTCCACTGAAGACTCCACTTTGGGTCATTGTGGGGATCTTTCTCTTATTAAGGCCAATGCATATATTCAGAGGAAAAGTTCTCTCATGCCTTTAAAGTCAACCATGAAACAAAAAACATATTCTTCCACAATATTAAGACAGATTTGTCTAAATGTCTCCTTGTTTTTCTTCCAGGTCTGCAGGTTTCCAGGCCTCTGATTAACCCAGGTTACCCAGAAAACACTACAGCTGTGGTGGGCGGTCAGGCGAAGCTGGTGTGTAAAATCCACCGGCCGGCGTCCACCAAGGTGCAGTGGCTGAAGGCGGAGGTCAGCGAGAGCGTAACACCTACTCTCAGGGCTCTAACGGTGAGAACAACTGCAAACAATAAATGTGTTCTGTCCTCATCATATTGGACGTTAGAAAAATATCACTGGTCCCCGGCTTGAGCTTCAATCTCAGGATCCATGTATTTGCGATCCTCTCCAGAATGGAAGTAGTCATCACATACAGAGCATCAACTAGTTCCTGAACACTTTTCTTCTCAAAATGTTGAATTCTTCCTCAAAATTCTGAATTTTTCTCAAAATCTAAAAATTCTGACTTTTTCTCAAAATCTCAAAATTCTGACTTTTTACTCAAAATCTCAAAATTCTGACTTTTTACTCAAAATCTCAAAATTATGTATTTTTCCTCAAAATCTCAAAATTCTGTCTTTTTTCTCAAAATCTCTAAATTCTGACTTTTTCTCAAAATCTCTAAATTCTGACTTTTTCTCAAATTTCTGACTTTTTCTCAAAATCTCTAAATTCTCACACAGTCACAAGATGGAGGAATAGAAAGCAGTATTCAATGTTTACTTCAGATTAGCTCCACGTCAGAAAGCTATCATATGCCTAACACAGTCCTGATGGTCTTCTAGGTAATCAGACATCCTGTCATGTTCACAGCTACAGTTGGGATACCTTTGATATCATGTGTACTCTGATATTGGAAGAGGACATTCAGTATTTTCCCCACATTGGACATAAGATATTAAATGATCTCTTCTCCATGCAGCCTTTGCAGATCAATGCATCAAAGCTCAACACTTTGCACCTGTCCAACATCACTCTGGAGGATGCAGGAGAGTACCTCTGCATGGCTGAAGGATCTCATGCAGGACAGACAGTGCAGGCCATGCAGGCGGCGTGGCTGGACGTCCTGCCTGGTAACCCATTTTCAAGCATACCTTATATGACCTTAGACCATAATCGCACAACAATATAGCATCTATCAAGACCAAGCTTCACGCTACATGCTCACCTTACATTTTCTTATCTCCAGGTATCATCCTTTCTAAAACTGAGGACTTGACTGTTGCTGAAATCCCATCAGGTAACTTCACATTCTCACACTGGAGAAAGTTGCAAATATAAATGTTTTGAATCCAAAAATATCAGTAGCCTATAGGCAAGTGTATTTATACGACACCTTTCAACACAAGGCAATTCAAAGTGCTTTACCGAAATGAATGACATTAAGAGCTTTAAGAAACATATTATAATTATACTATTATAACATGAATTAGTGGCGTAAGAACTGACAGCGGTGTTTGCGTTCAGTTTGTAAACCCAGGAAGTGCAGCACAGACTGTTATGTATACAGTTATAGATGGTATGGCGGCCATCTGTGTGGGCTCGTCCTCCTCCCCAGGCCGAGATGATCTCCTCACTTAGATCTCCAGTGAACCTTCACCGCCCCTCAGATTTACTCTCTGTCCTCTGTCACGGTGCAACGTGTTCATTAGCCTCTCGTCCCCCTTTCTTCTTCTTCTTCTTCTTCTTCTTCTTCTTCTTTTGGGGGGCGGGGAAGATTGCTGTGTTAGCTAGATCGCTCTGAGTCCCACAATAATCCACAGGGGAACAAAAAGAAAAAGAGGAGGAGGGGGTGTGTTGGGTGGGTCAGGCCTCATGGTCTCTATGGTAATGTCATTGTGTGTGTGTGTGTGTGTGTGTGTGTGTGTGTGTGTGTGTGTGTGTGTGTGTGTGTGTGTGTGTGTGTGGAGATAATAGGGTTGAAGTGTTGAAGGTCAAAGTTGAGGGGGCGGATACTTGCTTGAGAGGGGAGATGAATAAATAACCTGCTGACTGGCCTGAGTGGTGTGAATGAGTTAAAGAACATTTAAGAAAGAAAGATAAAAACAAACCTGGTGCACTAACAGGGAAAAGGAAAATGGCTGCACGCTAACACCTCGGTTTTCTTTGGTTGAAACAGATGTTATTGAGGACCTGAGTGAGGACACCACCGAGCATCTTCTGATCGATCCGGGAAACGTCCTGAAGCTGCGCTGCGATGCGAGCACCCGGCCCGGCATGGCGGTCACATGGTACAGGGAGGGGGTCCGAGTTCAGGCCACGCCTCGCTGCCAGATCCGAGGCACCATCATGGAGATCACAGACGTCACGTATGAGGACTCTGGCGTTTATGTCTGTGTTCTCCGGGGAACCAAAGAGCCTGTGAGGAACTTCACCATCACTGTAGCAGGTAAGGACACTCACACAGTACACGATGACAGCATTAAGATTAGCATTTGATGTTAACTTAAAAACAAGGGGAAGGGAATATAAGGAAAGAAAACAAGGACCACCAATATAGCTGCAAAACGTAACATTTTAGAAGAAACAAGACAATTAATTGGTTCGTTTATCAGAAAGAACTTCATAGCCAACTATTTGAAAACATTGTTAATTGTTGAAAGCCAGTTTTAATGCAGAAATGAAAACTCAATTCACTGGAGCACTTTTCCTAAAGGAAATCATTTGCTGCTTCCTTAAACCTATATGTTTGTTAACTGAATATCAGAGGGCTTTGGAAAGTTAGTTTGACCAAACAATCTTTTTTGAATGAATCAACTCGGAGTTGTTGGACCGCAAGAACCATTTCTTTATCAAACAAGGATAAACAATTATTTCCATTGTCTTTTTTGTTTCCAGACTCTATGGGGTCAGGGGATGACGATGAAGACAATGATCTGGAGGACTCATCAGCTGAGATCGAAAACGACCAGGTTTACATCTCAAGAGGTAAGTTGTTGTTGTTGTTGTTGTTGATGATCTTGAAGGATTGGTACAACCACCAGGCTTCATCAGAGCACTCTCTTACTAACGGCATGTCTCTGTCCATGTAGGTCCCTATTGGACCCACACCCAGCGCATGGAGAAGAAGCTGTACGCTGTTCCTGCAGGAAACACGGTGAAGTTTCGTTGCCCGGCTATGGGAAGCCCCTTGCCGAGCATCCGCTGGCTCAAAAACGGACGAGAGTTTAGAGGCGAGCACCGCATCGGGGGCATCAAGGTGAGGATGGTTACCTACCATCTGGTCAATCAAGATGAATGACAGCAGTGTTCATTGGAGTTATTGTAAAGACTGAGTATCCATTGGTGCTGATGTATTATGTTGTGTGTTTCTTTGGCTAGCTGAGACACCAGCACTGGAGCCTTGTGATGGAGAGTGTGGTGCCTTCAGACAGAGGAAACTACACCTGCATGGTGGACAACAAATATGGATCCATCACTCACAGCTACGTTCTCGATGTCCTCGGTAAGAAACAGATAATGTAGTGTTCTCTACAGAATGTGTGCAAAATATAAATGTCATGCATTTGGGTTGAATTATCCAATTTGGCAAAACTGAAAACGTTTCTGTTGAGTATCAGTGCTTTGTGATCTAGCTGACAATATTCCCAGCACCAAAGGCATGAGTTTGTAGGTCTCTGTCAGCACTTGTGGACAAATGTCGTGCCTACAAATAAAAGCCTTCAGTTTGAGGGAGGGGATAATTGGACGTGACAGGGGCTCCTGGGCCGGATGTGGAGGATCGGGCGTCCACACCAGTTTTCTCCCTGACCTGTGACAGCAGATTGAGAAGGGCTGCGGTTTGTTTGTTCATTTGTTCGCTGTCAGTCCGCCACAGGGTCAGTTTCCGTCTCGTTGAAGACTAACGAGACAACTAACGAGATCAGAGAGCGAGAGTAACCACAGATCAAAGAGAGCCTGGCAACCAGCTGACAAAGAGCCACACTAATGGAACCGATTTTCATCCCAGATTTCATTTCCTGCTTTTCAATGCCAGCATGAAAACACATTATATGTGACAGTGACAGCTGCTGGGCATTTCTTCAGACATTTGTTTTCAAAGCATACCGTTTGTCGGCTGTTAAACCGTCAAATATCTGGATAACTTAGCCACAGCTTCCTATGATTGGATAATGGACTCTGAGTGAAAGCGGAATGTATCAAACAATATTTGTCAGATCAGTAAAATCTCCTTCTCCATGTCCCCAAATATCCTTTGAAATGTGGTCCTGAGAAAAAAGGCCAATGCCACCTTTCCTCTTTGCCCACTTTGCTAACCTCTCCTTTGACTTCTCCTCTCCAGAGCGTTCCCCCCACAGACCCATCCTGCAGGCCGGTCTCCCCGCCAACACCACAGCGGTGGTGGGCAGCGACGTCCAGTTCCACTGCAAGGTCTACAGCGACGCCCAGCCTCACATCCAGTGGCTCAAACACATCGAGAGGAACGGCAGCCGCTACGGTTCAGATGGGACGCCCTACGTTCGAGTCCTCAAGGTGGGTGAAACTTAACTTAACTTAAATTACGTTAAAGTTCTGATCCCTATTCAAAAGACCTGCTGGAACCTGCTTGTTTGAGCTACAACAGTAAACTCCTCTAGTGAAATTGAGGGTTAGGGTTAAGGTTAGGTTTTATGGCAATGATTGTTGGTTTATATAACTCTTCACCCTTCAGGGAACTGAGAAACTCCACTATGTGCAATATAAACACAATTTCCATCATTACAAAACACTCTGCTATATAACATGTGCAATACTATTATTATTATTATTATTATTATTATTATTAATGTGCGATAAATAACGTGCAATTACGTAACTACCACTACGGTTTTTGCACTACTAAATACTAAATACTGTTCATATTTACATTAATTATGTGACCATCTATGTTTCCGGTAGTTATTGAATTGCTCTTTTTACGGCACTGTTAGTGTACAGTTGTATTATTATTGTGCTGCTGTGTTTATTGTATTTTTGTAACTCTGGCACAACAATTTCTTTCCGGATTAATAAAGTCCTATTTTATCTTATTTGATCTTACTCACACACAATTCTTATATATATATATTTCTTTTTTTTGCACGTCGTTGGCATGTGAAGTATGTTTTGTGTTATGCTGTTGTGCCGCACGTTTATGTTTCTTTTTGTTTTGTTCTGTTATAACGCCTTGTACGGAATACTTTGGCAATACCATGTTTAAAATGTGGCCCCTCTGTATTGTATTGTATTGTACTCACTGTTGTGTGTCTCTTTTCTTCATGTGTTTTGCAGACCGGCAGTCTGAACATGTCCGAGGTGGAGGTGCTCTACCTGGCTAAAGTCACCATGGAGGACGCAGGAGAATACACGTGTCTGGCTGGAAATTCAATTGGATTTGCTCACCAGTCCGCCTGGCTCGTCGTCCTTTCAGGTAAAGAACAAATTCAAACCTATGAGATTCAGTAGTGAAATGAAAAGAACGGACTTTATTGCTTGATTATTTTCCCTGTTGCTTTTTCAAAAAAGTATTGCAATGTGCTCTAAATGTGTTGATTGTGTGTATATATATATATATATAGGTATATACATATTTTTATATATCTTTGTTATTGCATTCGGGATTGTGGGGAACGGAATTTCTCTCTCTCTGTCTGTACACACAAACTGAAAGATTAACAATAAAATTGACTTTGACTTTAATAAACAAAAGCTGACCACCTCTCAATTGGCAGCAAGATATTCCGTGAGTGTTGGAAAACTGAATAGGCGAAAAAATGTTTTTGTTAAACTTGTCCCCCTCTTTCTACAGAGGAGGAAGCAGCAGACGCTCTGGACACCATGGAGACCAAGTACACCGACATCATCATCTACGCCTGTGGTTTCCTGGCTCTCATCATGGCCATCGTCATCGTGGTGTTGTGTCGAATGCAGGTTCACCCCAGAAGGGAGCCGTTTGACGCACTTCCCGTCCAGAAGCTCTCCAAGTTTCCTCTTCGCAGACAGGTACGAAGCTATGCATTATGGGACAGAAAACAGTCATGTACAGTACAGGGCCATGGTCAGCTGGAAATCTTTACCGGCCCATATCTTTCAGGAAAAGTCTCAAGTACATTTCAAAAGGTCGCAAAAAAAGTATCTCAGTATTATAGAGTATAATTGAACTGTGCCTGTGGGTAGGTATGTATTATTATGTACAATTATTTGTATTTATGATGGCTAAAACTGGATGACTATTTTAGTTTTCACTTCATATAGCACTGTAAGTTGCATGAAATTATGAGCTGTTTTTTTTTGTTTTGTTTCATGTATGTTTATGTATGTTTTGTGTGTGTGAGGACCCCAGGAAGAATAGCCAATGCTCATGCTAGTGCTAATGGAAATCCTAATAAAGAATAAAAGAATATGGGAACTTAAAGTATGTCTTCTTTAACTTTAGAAAGTTGTGGACTTTAACTTAAAGCTCGGGGTTTGCTTTAAAGTATCCTCGAAGGGTCTTCCGAAGCTCTTCAGATTTGCCACACTTGAGACTTTCCTGTAAGTTCAGATAGCTAAACTGCTTCTGTATTTCTGCCTTCAGTACTCGGTGGACTCTAACTCATCGGGGAAGTCCAGTGCGTCTCTGATGAGGGTCGCTCGCCTCTCGTCCAGCTGCTCTCCGATGCTCGCTGGAGTCATGGAGTTTGAGTTGCCCTACGACCCCGTCTGGGAGTTCCCCAGAGAGAAGTAAGTTATCTGAAAGTCATTTCTGTCCTCATCTGCAAAGACATTACACTCTTATGTTCGAAATGATGGTAAAAAAAGAGATGTGTTGACATAGTTTACTTTAAAGTTGCTGCAAATAGAGATTATTTCTACCCTGAGTTTAGTCTGGCTTCTGGGAGTCATTTAAACATTGTTGCTCTAAAAAGACCTAAAAAGAAACGAGCCCGCAGCCCATTTCTGGCTCAACCCAACCTATGTTTTAAGAAACCAGAGCCCCAAATTATGGATTTGTACAGTTTTCATTTGGACATACTTATTTTTGCTAACTTTCTCTCTCTAGTTTAACGTTGGGTAAACCTCTAGGAGAAGGCTGCTTTGGTCAGGTGGTCAGAGCCGATGCTTACGGCATCAACAAGGACTCTCCGGATCCCGCCTCAACTGTGGCGGTTAAGATGCTCAAAGGTAAGAAGAGATGATAGAGAGTCAACAATACCTCGAAAGATTCGCTTTGGTCTGCTGTGTTTTCTAAATAAAGTACGTTTTTTCCTAAAGACGACGCCACCGACAAAGACCTTGCAGACCTGATCTCGGAGATGGAGCTGATGAAGGTGATGGACAAACACAAGAACATCATCAATCTGCTTGGAGTCTGCACACAGGATGGTGAGTGTCTCTTCTACATCAACATGTGTCCCCTCTTATCCATGTCTCTTCTACATCAACATGTGTCCCCTCTGTGGAAAGAGATTCTGAAAGTTTCAGGAACAAAGATTCTCTCTCTTTTTGTCCTGATCCATTTCTATAAAAACCTGTCTGAAAATGAGCTGATCAGATTTTGGCCACTTTATGATCTCATAACGATGTTTTGGCTTGTGTAACCATTAGCCAATCAGCAACCAAGGTAACCCCCCCCCTCACCTTATAAACCTGAATCTCCTGCTGGAGCACCATTGAGCTCTTTTTAACCAAATATCTCTCAGAGGGGCGTGGGGAGGGGCTCCTTATTTTCATCTAAAGTAACAGACAGAGAATCAGCACTTTGGAAACAGGGCTGAAACAGAGGGGATTATGGGTAATGCTGCAATGATCTGTTTGGTGTTTGGAGCCAAACACTTCAGAGACATGTTTTGGATTTATCTGAGACCTATTATATATTGATGAAAAACAGTACAATAGGGGACCTTTGAATAAACTTAATCGGACTGTCCTTCAACAAAGGCTCCTTGTTATTCGAAATCTCAACTAATTTAGTAAGTGTTTCAACGATGGTGCATACCTCCAGGCCAGACCAACAATAGAAACAACCTTCATCCTGTGTGTGTTTCCCCCCTCAGGCCCTCTGTATGTGCTGGTGGAGTACGCCTCTAAAGGCAGTCTGAGGGAGTACCTGCGGGCGAGGAGACCCCCGGGCATGGACTACACCTTTGATGTGACCAAGGTGCCTGAAGAGCAGCTCACCTTCAAAGACCTGCTGTCCTGCGCCTACCAGGTGGCCCGAGGGATGGAGTACCTGGCGTCAAAAAGGGTACGCTCACTTTTCAGCCAACCGATGCAATCCAACTTTATTTATATAGCACATTTAAAAATCACAGAGTTGACCACAGTGCTGTACATCAATACACATATAAAAAGCAGCATTCATTACATGTTAGACACTTTTATCCAAAGCGACTTACATACTCAATACTGTGGGCGATCCCCACAGGAGCAATTTGGGGTGAAGTGTCCTTTCCAGGGACACAACGACATGCTGACTGCAGTGGGGTTTGAACCTGTGCTGACCTTGATCCGAACACTCTATCCACTGCACCACACGCCTCTAAATACATTTAGACAAAACCGATAGGACAAAAAAACAAATGTAAAAGCATGAAACAATAAAACCCTACTTATAGCCACAGACTGAAAAACTCTCATCCATGATGTCAAAACATTTGAAAACACAATAGATTACATTTCATGAGGAAATAACTTGAAGTAGAAAACGCAGTTACATAGTGGCTGTAAATCTTTTCTCCGTTCTTTTTCTATAAGCAAAGGGCAACTGGTTCAAACCCTTTCATTTAGGTGGTTTAGTTATACATGTCTTACACATTGAATTCTTGAGGCCAGAGCTTATTAATAGTTTCTGTCCTTTTCATCAAAAGTTGGGAATGCGTGTCAGTAAACCAAGATTTAGTGACAGCTATACGATTGATTGAGCAGCAACAAGTTAAAATACAGACATTTTGACTGACGATTAATCAAAGAAGACGCTCTTCAAGTAAAAAAAGCCAAACCTTCTAAGGATTGTTACGAGGATTAAATGTAAAATCCTGACAGATACAACAAACAAACAAAAGATTTGAAGGCACACAAAAGCAGGATAGTCAAATGAATGAGCTGTACAAGTCCTAAAGAGCCTTTCATTTCCAATCGTTTGATTTGGGATTAGGGTTGAGTTCATGTTCCTCTGTGATTTGCGCACTTGGCCTTCAGATGGATATCCCCACTAGCCTTCCCCCCCCCCTCTCCCCTCTTTCTTTCTTTTCTTTCCATCCCAACCCCCCATGTTTCTATTCCTTTCATTTTCCCAGCATGCACTCTGTCTGTGTGTTTCTTATCAACACGTCTCTTTGTGTGCCAGCCGGTGTCTCAGACAGGCATTCCTGAACAGAAAACCAGTCCTGTTTACTCTTCTCCATCCATCTGTCCGTCCCTCAGTCTCAGTGCTTTGTCCTTTTTAGCGCTGCCATAAATCTGTTAGCAAACAGCAGCAGAGCCGTCGTCTGGGTGCAGGCATCGGGTTTCTGGCTCTACGGCCTCCTAAGAATGCAGGAGACTGAAACTAACCCTCCATTATGGGGAGACCCACAAACCGAGACTGGCTTATTTTGCTCGTCCCCACAAATCCCACGTCTATTTCGAATGAAAACCAAAATAAACTTAATGACATCCATTCAATGTGGGCAAACAGAGCCGTTCTTTTTTCCTCCTCCGAGAAGGTTTGTTTTTATTTCAAACTCCCGGGTTTCTATATAAAGACATTTTAATTTTGAAACTAAAATGAGGCGCTGCGTGTTGACTTTAAACTGCTGAGTCTTTTCATTTTGGGAGAAAAACTGCAGTGAATAATTCCTAACTCCCATACCTCCATGTTTTTACACGACTTCCCGAAACCGCAGACGAGAACATGTCGTGTCACCGGTGTCAAACAAACAGCATATGAATGTGAACGCCTCCATCATGAAGAAGAGTTCTTGGTCTGATAGGACTTAAAATGTAGACATTTGTAAACAAGAAGCAACAAACTTAACACAAATGACTTTCCAAAGCAGAAATGAAATCTCTGAGCCCATTAAGCAGCACCGTTTAAACTAAATGCTAATCTTATAATCTGAGACCCAGCAGTTGGCCTTAAGCTCTTTTTTAAGGGTTTGTGTTAATTCTCTCTCTTCTCTCCCCGCAGTGCATCCACAGAGATCTGGCAGCCAGGAACGTTCTGGTGACGGAGGACAACGTGATGAAGATCGCTGACTTCGGCCTGGCCAGAGGAGTCCACCAGATCGACTACTACAAGAAAACCACCAACGTGAGTGAGGTTTTCAGGACTGGATTGACTTCTTCACTCCTGTAGCTTTCCAGTAAAAAAGTTTTGATTTCCAGTCGTGAGAGGAAGAGTACAGCTAAATGACTCTCTTGTAATATCATATTATTGTTATTGGATCAAATAGATTTTATTTGTGTGCATTGCTAAAGGGAAAAGTTTCGAAGCATGCTGTTTGGGATAACACATTTTTAAAAGCATGCAATAAAAAAGAGTTCCTTTCAAGCTTTAATGTCCCTAAAGACAGATGCCTGATGTTTTCCTCTGATTGGCAGCAAGCGTAATGAGACTTAATAAGAGAAAGAGGGGAGACAAGGAGGGAGGAGGGGAAGGATTGTGAGAGGAAAACATATTTTTTTAACAGCGAGACAGAAAAGCAATAAGTCAGAGTTGTTGTTGTCTGGTGTTAACATGTACATGTGTTTTACAGGGACGTCTGCCGGTGAAATGGATGGCACCCGAGGCTTTGTTTGACAGAGTTTACACACACCAGAGCGACGTGTAAGTCTGATACACACAAAATGAACTGCTTCATGGGAAGACGTATTTGTCTTGTCAAACCTCATCGAACTGTACTCATCAAATCATCAAAGTTGTTTACCTTCAAATGATGTCTGAGCTTGTTGTCTTTCTAAACACTGTTTGTGCTCAGGTGGTCTTTTGGCGTGTTAATGTGGGAGATCTTCACGCTAGGTGGCTCTCCGTACCCCGGTATCCCCGTCGAGGAACTCTTCAAGCTGCTGAAGGAAGGACATCGCATGGACAAACCCTCCAACTGCACACATGAACTGTAAGCAGGAACTTTTGTTTATGTGAGATGTTGTTTTGCTCACAGCAGCCAGGGAGTGGTGTTCACATCAGTTCAAAAAGAAACAGCTTACATACCATTTCATGAGCTCCACCCTCACCCAAGCATTTGCTCATCAAAGCTTGTCATTTCTTGGAATCAAAGCAGTATGTTTTAAAGGCACTTAGAGACTACATTTGTAGATCGTATAACTCATTTCTGTTGTTGTTTTTCTCCCCTGTAGCTACATGATGATGCGAGAGTGCTGGCATGCGGTTCCCACCCAGAGGCCGACCTTCAAACAGCTGGTGGAGGAGCTGGACAAAGTGCTGCTGTCCATCTCTGACGAGGTGAGTGACATAATACTCTATACCTATACCCTCCTACGAAACTAAAACTCACAGGCTCATATATGCACTCGTGAAGTTGCACACACATCCTCTCTTAAGCAATCTGCTGTCCAGATGTCTTCATTACGAGAGAGAAAAATAAAGTGTTTCGCCCGCGTTGTTCAGATTGTTAACAATTCAGAGCAGCATGCAGATGATTCAACTATCCATGCAGCAACTAAGCATGAAATGAAACGCCTTTGAGAAGCTGTTTCCTGTTCGATACACATAGCTAGTTTCCTCTGTTCTTGTAACACCAACATGTCTCTAATGCCTGACCATGCTTTCCTCTCTCAGTACTTGGACCTGTCGACGCCCTTCGAGCAGTATTCCCCGTCGTGCGAGGACACGTCCAGCTCCTGCTCCTCTGACAACGACTCTGTTTTTACCCATGATGCCTTGCCCACCGACCCCTGCCTCCTGGGATACCAAGACGTGCGCAACCGGATAGACATAAAGAAGACGCTCACATAAACTCACCCACACACACAAAGACATGAACACTACAACACATCCCCTGGCGGCCATATTGGAGGTCCTCAGCTAAGTTAAGTTAAAGTTTATATTCATGAAGTTTTCCTTGGACCTCCATTAGGGCACCAGATTAAGCCTTTAGATATAGACGAGCCTCATCACACATAAAGAAACATGTATGCACGCGGAGCACTGAGGCGTCATTACAAGATGAAGGAACACGTTTCATTGAGGGCAAAGAAAGAGAGGACAAACAAAACGTGGTACTTTGGACTATCAGCTCTGGCACTGTGCACAAGAACAGTTGTTATCGTTGGAAAACTGCGGCACTAAACACCACAGAAGAAGACAAAATCGCCTCGAAATGCTTTCTTTGATCAAGTTTCCCTCAGAGAGGTGACGGACAATGACCTCCTCACACAACCCAAAACCAGGCGAGAAAGCTCGGTGGTAAAGACATTTTTATCAAACAAAAAAAAGATTTATTTTGCTACGGTAAAAAAAGAAGAAAGTGATTGTTAAATATAAATCTCTCTATATAAGATTATTTTACTTTTGTGTTGCTTATTTAAAAAGAAAAAACAGTCTTAAATCTCAGGATCTCTTGTGCTAAGAAGTTGCTGTAGCGGCAGCAAAGTGCCTGAATTTACGATTTCCTGTGAATATATTAGAATATTAAAATATTGTATGTAAATATCAACAGCAGAAAAAAGACGATTGCCTTTTATAAATTATTTTGATGACACAAAAAATGAAGGTTATTGGAGGGCGAAAGGAGAGAGGAATTTTAATCAAGTGCCAAACCTGTCTCAGCTGTCGTGTTTCATTCCAAAATATTCAATTCAGAAAAAAGATTTGTACCCAATTGTCCCATCAATTCAAACATTGGAGTCACCCCAAAATCCAGAATATTTGACGCTGTTAAAAAATTGCTTTACTTCAGCAAAACGTGCCGAAAAACGACCAACATTTTGACAGCTCAAACCTCAAATATGTGTGGTCAAACATGATGGATTGAGTCTTTAAAAGATTGTTACGTTTTGGAATGAAACCCTGTATTTGTCATTTGGCCGTAAATTGTTTTGACTTCAGCCATCAGTGGTCGAATACCAGAAGGATTGTCCTTTCTTGTTGCTGTTGTTGGAGGAAAACCACCAAAAATGTTCGAATGCATCGTTTAAAAAAAGTTCTCCAAGGTCATCAACATCATTGAACAATCACGTAAACTGTGAGACAACATCACGTGGGGCTTCCTCCAACAACAGCTCCCATTGTCACAGACAGTGTGTCCAGACTCTGAGAAGAGGACCAACGATTCAGCCCAAATCCACTGTCACTGTCCAAAGGAGGAGGAGGGGTGTGGGGGGGGGGGGGGGAACTGAATGTGAAAGCCAGTGTGATTGATTTCAAATAGAGGAGAAGGGGGAGGGAGCCTCCTTTGTCTAGCGGTAACCCTTCACCCTCCCAATCTGCTGGCGAGGGGTCTTCAGGTCCGCAGCCTGCGCGGACAATGAAGGCTTTGCAGGATTAATGGGTGTGACTACGGACCAGAGGGAGCTTTTTTTGTTGTGGGGTGGAGGTGGTGGTGGGGATAGCTGGGGCTTGTGTGCAAATGAAGAGGCTCTTATTATGGTAATGTACCCTCTTCTGTCCTAAAAAGCCCCTATCTGTATCCCCACAGCAGCCCACCATCTTTCAAAATTACACACATTTTAATTCAGATTTGCCACCAGGACCAGCTGCAGAAAATTCCCATGTGGGGTAAAACAGCCAAGACTTCGAAATCTGAACATTGAGACAAAATGAGAGAAAGATATTTTAACAAAAGAGATGACATTGTTTGAATTGACCGAACACTATGGAATGATTTTGGTTTAATATGTGGCTGTTTTACACCCAAGCTGTTTTCCCTCTGGTCCCGTTTCTTGATCTAATCATCGTCCTGTCTGTGAAACCAGTCAACCATTTCATCCATGAAGGATTTGTGCATCTTCTCTTCTCATTTCTTGTTTTTTTTTGTCCATGCTGTCAATCATCTGGTGTCTCATTTTGGAATGAAGCTCTTCACATGCATAACCACAAAGTGTCCGGACACATCTGCATCTTTACATTCCAGTTATCTGCTCTCCTCCCAGATAAAAACTGTAAACAATCACAGCGTTCTTAAACATTTCCTCAAGAGAATTATTTTAGAAATATCTAATTTATTTGTTTATTGTTTTGTTTTTATATGAAATAAAGTATAATTTAAAATAAAGCAACTCTTTGTCCTTGTCATGTTGGCTACACTCATGTTTTCATTGGAAACCTTTAACCAATACCAGATGAATGTAAAAGGGATTACATTGTTCTCTATTTAATTAAATCACCTTTCTTTATGAGTTGAACTTGTCAGTGTGGGCCTCCCTTTGTGTGCAGCGAGTAGGAGCACAAACTGTTTTTGCACCACAGTGAAACGTCCCATTTTTGAAAGGTTTAACCCTCCTGTTGTGTTCGGGTCAAATCTGACAGATTTACTACTTTCATCAATCATAACTTTTTTGTTTTACATTCGATTGCATTAAGGCTTTATGATATCCTTCACAGTAGACATTTGAACATGTACAATTGCTGATCACCTCTTTCATTGAGTTTTGGATGATTTAGTCAACTTGGTAACACCATGGTGTTCCCGGTCAAAAATGGCCGCCATAAAGAAAAGGAATTAGTAACCATCCAGATCAGATAAAACAAAAACAAAAACACACACACACACACACACACACACACACACACACACACACACACACACACACACACACACACACACACTCTAGATGTGCCCAATCCCCCCATGTGAATCACACCTGGCACACACAAACACACACACACACAGAACTATTAGATACATTTCCCGCTCTTATGTGCCTATCCCCCCACCTGAGTCACACCTGGCACATGCAATACATGTTCAGTTTCTATTATTTGTATATATACTGCATTTTTTCATGTATACCAGTAGTCTGATACAATATGTACAGTTTGAAAGGGTGTTAAATTAAATGTGGTGATGATTAATGGTTTTTGTGTTAATGTAATAGCGGTTAAAACAGGACCGGTCAAATTTGACCGCGAAC